AAGAAGTCATACTTCACACAGTACACATTACATGTACACTGTACAGTAATGAAATGTGTAATAAACAGTGACCTCCAGTGTCTCTTTTTACTTGGTGCAGGGGCTGGAAACGCAGTGGTACCGTCGTTGTTTCCGATTTCCATAACACGAGTGATTTAACTAATATTTATTTATTCGTTTTTATAACTAGTTGTTTAAGATACATCTGAATAGTAACGAAAGACGCATTTTCGTTCTTGTCGTCAATATTGTATAATATAGTATATAGTACTGCTTGTCGCAAATCTCATCATTTAAAGCCCTTTAAATAGTTTGACGACATTAAGGTTTGAAATAGGTAATTATCATTAATGAGAACCATAATAGGTGCTAGTGAGCCTATATGTCTCATGCCCTACTGTTTCTCAACGCAAGAATTGTATGGCGTTTCAACTTAACCAATTCAAATTGGTCTGTGACAGTTACAAGATATGTTTGTTTGGAAATATTGACACACAAAGGCATTTTTGAGTAAAGAAACTTGTCGGGTTTTAATACCTGATTTACATAATGCGCTTCTAAGATATTTAATTATTTCCAGCAAGCAATAACGATTATTATGTGTTAGTCTCAGCCACGGCCACGGGACCTGTGAAGAGTCCGAATCGTTGGTACATTTGAAAAAACAAATGCTATTTAGATCCCGGCAAAATATATGGAGATAGAGATATATTTATTTCTGTATGCACACGGTAAATGCAGTTTACAGGTTTCAGATTACACTTATGGTTCAGCGTAATAGGCATACAAATGTTAATAGCAAATATTATACATTGTTCGCATTTTATTACACAATGTCATATTACTTATATAATTAAAATCATATCGTAGTACATTATAAAATTAAATTTTGTTCATTAAATAATATAATTAAAGAAAAATTATGATTTAATAAAAAAAAAGAAGAACGCATGTCAAAGCAATAAAGATGTAGAGGGGCGCAGGCTTCGAAATTTAAATGTCAAAAACTCATCAAGCAATTCAAATAGTATTTTCTTAAATCTATACGTAGGTAACATTTTTATATCGTCAGGTAATTAATACATTATATAATTTTATGCACATGTTATAGCAATTCCTTTGATAACATGTAGTAGTGTGTAATGTTGAGCCAAACGATAGGGATATCGGGTTAAAAAGGAACATTTTTTGAAGTAAATAAATAACTATGTTTTTTTGACAAAAATAACAAAAAACATATCTCGAATAAGGAAGGAAAGGAAAATATTCTTAGTTTTTTAAATAAGGGTTTTCAGCTATCGCGCATACCAGCACCACACATCGCCTTTACCGCACTTCTTCTGCAAGATAAAAGCTCGACTTATGTGAACAGAGTTACCCCGACTACAAATTTCCATGCCGCAGAGTCGAACTAAGTCTGGTCTCAGATGTTTTCTAACCGGTAAATTGCGTACACAAATTTGCTGATTTTTTCACAAGCTGATTCAACTTGTTCTGTCCAGGTCAAATGTGTGTCGAGCACAGTTTCATTTTACATATAGTTTCATTTTCCAATGTTTAGCAAGCGCGAAAGCCTGTGAGTTGATATCTACATGTAATAGTGTGAACATGCAGGCATACTCGTACGTATCGAACAGCAACCTTACCTATTTCTGCCGCCAAGCAGAAGCAGTAATGTCAGCATTACTGTGCTCCGGTTTTGAACGGCAAGGGTGCTGGCGACATTACAGGCACATGAGATGGGACGAGCAACGTCCCTTCACTTGATATATAAAAAGTATCTTGATGTCTATCTCGCACTGGGGTAAATAGAAATCTTGAACTTACACTCTCCACGCAATTAATATCTTACAATAAAATAAAACGAGCACAAGTCTACTTCAAGGATCTGTCCTTGACCATAATGTATAACGAGAGTTAAGACCTTAGTTTGCCATACTCGTAATGGGTTGCAGAGCACTTCTGTTTAGACGACCTCCGTGGTCTAGGCTTGAACACCGGTGGTGTCATCTCGGTGGTGATAATTTATTTTCAAAATGGGAACTTTTCAAGGAAGTCGTCAAACGATTCTACGAAATTAGTCAGTTGATTTAACAATTTTTCATCTTCTCTGAGATTCAAAAGTCCTTATGCCGCTGATATACGGCGCATTCGCCTTGTTTACTTGTTTAGCTTGGGGCAAAACGTGTGCCTATTTTTAAAATAAAAATAAGATTTCTTCTTGATTTATTTAATGAAATTAGCGATACCAAAATCTAGATCGCTAAGTTAAAATGATTGAATGTATAAACTTTTGTTGAAATGTTCTTCAGTTCCAACGACCTGGTGAACCTGGATAGCTTTTGCTACATTATGTCTCCGACTAGGTTTCGTCTCACACGGCGTCGTACAGCGGTTGCAATTTAAGCGTTGGCTTATAAGTGGTCCGCCTTGTCTTAATGACAATGACTTTACTTTTGTGAGTTCGTGTGAAATTTTTTTTATTATAATCGCATTTTTAATATGTTTAGGCGCCTACTCACTTTCTTTTCATCTTGGTTGGCAGTGGGCATGCAAAGTGGGATACAATTTCTATATAGCTCGATTAACTGGCCGATAAGGTTAAATGAAAGAACCAGTTAGGACTATAAAAAACAAGCAAATGCAGATCTATACGATTTGACCTCATTATTAAAGTCTTCGATGGTAGTCCAGTGGGAGAATGGTTGCTTCTCTATAGAGGGAGCCACGGTTCGAATCACAACGTAGACATGTCTTTAATTTCTAAGATATGTACTGTTGTGAATGTTCAATAACACTATTTGTCACTAACAGTGAAAGAAAGTGTCTCAAAAGTGATGATGATACTTGCAAGTCAAAGAAGGTTCAACTCGCTATTGTGTCCTTTACGACTGACAAGACGATGGCGAAAAAGTAATTTTAAAATTACTTTTCAACAGTGTACTATTGAGTTATTAGGTTTTCGCGATTGTTACATATAGGCAATGAAATTATTTTTCCGGATTACCATCGCGTATATTTGTTTTTTCAAACAAACCGACGTTTCGGGCCCTTTACAGGTCCCATGGTCACTATGAAAAATAGTTTCAATTCCTAAGTGTACTATTGTTTTACGTGTTTAAGCAGGATTTACGATCAGACTCCAATTTTGTCTTACTGTAGCAAAACTTTTTAACTTTGTTCAAAAACAGATAATTTGATTACACACAAAGTGATATAAGAACACTGGCCGCCTGACGCGTATCCTTACAATAGTGTGACTAGGAATTAGCTTCTGAAACTGCAAGTATTCTATTTGTATAACATCTTTGTTCTTAATTTCTGCTCTTTAGAGTATCTCAACGGGTTCCCAAAAATTAATTCAAAATGTTTAATATTCCTTCTTTTGTGTGACTTCTGACTTTCTGTCTAATCTGATTCAAAATGAACGATACATATGTTTTGAACGTGTAAAGTGTTCCTATAAACGCAAAATATTAAAAGAAATCCGAATATAAGATCTGATTAGAAATTCATTGCGTTCAATGGAACGCGAGGAATGAAGTGTACATTCCATTCATAACAAAGTCACAGGTGAACATTTAACATAACTGCATAACCCGCCATGTAACAGTCGTACAGATTGCAATCGGACGCAACGAGGGTGATTTATTTACTCAAATAACGGTTCGCGGTAAGATACCACAATATCTTTCTCTCGTCCACTGCAACCGATATTAGTACGGTTTAAGATCTGATAATGTATACAAGAGTTACAATAATGTCGAGTAAGTCAAGGCTAAAAAAGGAAAAAATATGGCTACAGAAACGTGACAATTCTGAAGCGAGGTGGACAGGCGACATCATCAAAGCCCGTTGATAGGTGAGACTAGCGGAAGATCGTGGTGGATGGCACAAACTACAGCAGGCCTATATACTCTGGTCGGAGTGTCGATGATGATGAAGTACGGAGTACGTTGTTAATTAACGATGTTACGTACAAAACATGATACACTAGAATCGAAAACTCGGAGACAAGAATTAGTGAACAACTTTCTAAGACACGAAGCTGTACTACTCTTATGTAAAATGATGCTTCTATCTACTAAAGGTCATACAATCCATAAAATGTGTCTAATCCCAGTCATATCCTTATTCCTTCTATATCTAAGCACGATTCAATTTACATCGACGTCAAATATTATAAACAAAGGATCCCGCGATTTATCTGCCGATGAATCGTTTCTCTAAATGAATTGTTCCACCACAGTGAAAGTTGGGAAAGTCGAGTCTTATGAACTCTTGACCATAATTAGTGAATAAAATCACTTAAACATAGCTTTTAGAGTAATTTGTAAGTAGTTCTTACGTGAGCTCATGTAATAACGGTAAAGTTATGGTTATGGCATGGACGTGATCGGGTAGATCTCGTTTTTTATGGAATTGTGGAGATACAGCAGATGGATAATGTCGGTTTTTAGGCTTTGATGCGATGGAATGTTTTAAGGGACTTTAGTTTTGCAATGTAAATGTTTTGACAGAAAGTTCTCAGTTAATTGTGATAAAAGATCAGAACGTAGCGCTTTTAACCGAGGAGAGCCTCGTCGACATTCATGTTGCCTCTGTTACTTAATACAATATTCATCGCTATTTTCAACATCATCGTTGTTTTTGTATACTTTATGATTTCGCTGCAACTTCTCCTTTGAAAAAAAGTCTCATATAAAATGTTAAACTTAAGATTCTAGATTTACCCAAGATATTCTGAATATAGCAAAAAGTTCTAGTTATAATATTTTGGGTTATGAAAATGTTCACAAAACTGATAATAAATAATTTTGAATGTTCAAAATCAATCTGTTATCACTTAACTACAATACTAAATTTCAGAAAAGCGAAAAATAGATATTTTATCTAGAAACTAAATTTTGCCCTCTGTTGTATAATGCTAGATTATTATGACCCAAAATGTAATTTAACGTTTTTGCTACATTAATTCATGACGTCATGGGGTTACTCACATGTGGTCGTCCTCGCCAGCAGGGCTACCAACACGAGCACAACTGTCTTCATAGTGTACGGACTCATGTCTGTGGTGTCTGACTGAGGCACTGACTACACATTTTATCACTAAACTTTGCTTGTTCTAAAGTGTCGTGGCATTAGTTGTTTTTGTGACGGATCTGCAACAAAAAAGATGTTATCAAAAACTCACCAACACATTTTATATAGGTTGTCCTCCAACGGTTAAACAGAAGACGTAAGAAAAATTACTACTACGTAAAATACTTTGATATTTCTGATAAGTAGAGGTTGTTAGGCTATTGTTTATCAAAAGCCTTTAATCGGAATTTCCTTTCAGTTTTCTTTAGCTGTGTATACAAAATATGAACTAAACATTTTCCTGGCCTCTATGAGTATCAATATAATCCCATTAAAAAATCTTACATATTACACGGTTCCTTCATCTGTACCAGAAATTGATTTTGAACTTGAACTTGAACTTTGAACGCTTTATTGAATCAATTACAATAAATATGATTCAATACATTAATTACAACTGTTATTACAACCTGTCTTTGACAGGATTAAATGAAAGCAAATTAAATTGTAACCTTAGACAACATATTCTCTATTTCAATTTTTTTTTTACCGTTACGCACTCAACGTATTCGCATAAAGGTCTCTTCAGACGCATTATATTGCATCGTTTCTTCTAACAATTTATTATTTTTTCTGTATCGATTCTGGAAAGAGGACAATGATCTTTTTCGATATTATAGTATAGTAACTAATTCGAGTTATATTGAGGATTGTTGAGAGCAATATTATCGATAATAAAGGCAATAACAGTACTATTATTACGCTTTATACGGTTCATATGCAACGAGTCAGTCGTGTGCTATGCACATACATCAGCGATGAGGGGAGAACGGTCATTGACAGCACGTCTATGGCTTTAAAGTACGAATTTGAAACACATAACTACAGTAGCAGTAGAGCTGCTTCTGAAAAAGTTAGCCCAGAGAGGTACTGCCTATGTCTATTTCTGCCGCCAAGCAGTAATGTAAGGATTAATGCGTTCCGGTTTGTGTGGGTGTGTGGGTTGAAACTGCAGGCATTTAGGACTTGTCAGCGTCATGGCTTAGGGTGACGGACGCAGTGGCAGTGCCACTCAGGTCTTTGCAATTTAAAGTTTAAAGCGTGTCGCTTATCACCAGGCGCATGATTTGTTCGTCCCATCGGTTCATAATCATAAAAAATATTGTTCCAATCCAATGTTGAAATACATTTGTCCAGACAGAACTTGCACACAATGTGCAAGATCATATCACTACATCTATAGTTAGCTCGCGGTGCAGCGGTTGCGCGAGCGCAATCAGCGGTAATTAAGATCAGATGAACCGTATCGCTGTAACGGAGTGCCGTTACTCAGATGTTGTGGTTTTGTTGCAAGTCTGTGGCTTTGATCAAAATGTGTAATGGGGGATTTATTGATAATAGTGGCAAATAAGTCGATTATTATACCGAGAAAAATCGATAAGATTTCGGAGTCCACTAACACGTTGTTAACAACAGTACAAACTCTTGAAAAAGAAAGACAGATGGTCCAACTCGAGATTTTTTTTTATCAGGCCAGGCTGGTCATGTCGTTTACAACAAGTGACATAATCAGCTACACACGAACACGAACCTATCGTATGTCAGTGCATGTCCGTCAGTCCATAAGACAGCAGCAGACCGTTAAGAAAGGTCACAACTCTTCAAAGAAGTGAAATTTCTTAAACCACATTTGATTCGCACAGAGTATAACGGTCTTAATACCCCACTGTGCTCAGTGGATTGATTGACATTAGTCTAAGTGTATTTCCAAGGGTAAATACTAAGATATTATTTAAATCTAATAATATGAAGATTGTGTCTTCCTGCATTTGTATAAAGAGTCAGCGCCCTAGGGCGGTAATGTATGGGAACGCGTTTATAGGCCGATGCCACGCCGGCATTATTTAAGTATAAAACTATGCACGATCACATAGCGGAACAGTGCATTTCTTGCGCTAACGTCTTTATATTGTATAAAAAAATGCGTTTTTATGAAGATTGCCGGTATCGTGTGGTTACCGATTATACATTAAACCGTCATTATCTTCTCCTTCTTCTTCTAAGAACGCAGCGGGAGTGTTTGCTTCTCAATTCAGAGATCAACCAATTAAATGGGACGGCAAGTGTCTGCGTATTTTAATTTCTAAATTACGTGTATTTGTGGATATATAATATTTTCTTTTGTTCTCTTCTAAGAAAAGGGTTTAAGCTCTAGTCTGCCACGTTATTATAATGCGGGTTGGAGGTTTCACACTTTCTTCGAGATACAGGTTTCCTCGCAATCTTTTGGTTCACGGTTAATGAGAGGTATGAGTACTGAACATTCATCATATGCCTATGTACATACATACATAAATCCTTGAAACTGAAGACATTCCTTCATCATTTAAGTTGAAATACTTACTTTAATTTTGTTAAGTGTAAAGTTAAATAAATAAAAGCGAACTGCTATCAAATGTCCAAAATATTAAAAAACAAATTTTAGCCGATTAACTTTTCGTAACGGCTGTAGAATATATACTCGTATAATGCAATCAAATAACTATTGTCTGAAATCTTACAAAATTCCATAATTATTTTGCATCAGTAATTGAAAAGACAATAATTATATCTTGCTACAAGTACATGAAAAGAATACACATGCATAGGATAATGTTGCAATATTAAGTCAATTAAAAGATTATTTTGTATTATTGCCAAAGATTGTACGATACGTTTGATGCAATATGATACAGCAAAAATTTGTGCTTCTACATTTTCAGGCACGTTCACTTCTCTTTTACCTTGCATAGTAAAAATTCTTTGTCTTAGTAATAAAAATATACAGCCAGTATCATAAATTTCGTGGCAGTAGAGCTCCTTGTGAAAGAGTTCATCTGGGACAGCACTCCACGTTACCTATTTCTGCCGTCAAGCAGAGCTGTGATTATTGCTGCGTTTCAGTTTTGAGTCAAAGTCACAGTCAAGTGACCACTTATTCTATAGGGAACATTTTTTACATTTCAAAACGTCGTTTTTGAGCTATTCCTCGTTCACTACGCTGACCTCCCTGAGTAGAACAGGCAAAAAAAATCTAGGGATTGCTCTTTTCAAATAAAAAAAAATTATATCATATTTGCGTGGAATCTAGCATCGTGTTGTCTTTCCACACTTGTTTATCTAACACGTCCTCTACAATTTTGTAATATGGCTTTTCAATTAAAATATCTACTTTTAATGTATGTTTTAAACTTAGAAAATGGTAATCTTAATATAAGCGCCGGAATCTTATTGTAAAAACGTATACAGTTCCCCATAAAAGAATCGTTTACCTTTGTTAAACAAGAACGTGGTACCATGACTTTGGACTTAGTTCTAATGTTAATATTATGGATATCTTTTTTCTTAACGAAATTATGTGTATTTTTACTGGCATACAAAATATTTCAGTAAATGTACTGTGATGTCACAGTCATTAGACCAGTCTCCTTAAACTTTTCTCTGAGAGAAATCCGAGAACGTAAACGGTACACAGAACGAATCGCTCGTTTTTGCAACACGAATGTGGTTTATATATCTGCCGCTTTACCCCACATGAGACTCCCGTAGGATATTATACTATGGAAGTAACTAAAGTAAACTAGTCTAGCAGTAGCAACATCGGTAAGCTCACGAATTCTGCGGACTGCGTATGCAGCAGAGCTTAATCTGAAACGTAAGGGCGCTAGTGACATTACAGGCAGATGGCACTGGTCAATTTATGTGTCAGGATGACGGGGGCAGTAGCAATGCCCCTTAGATCTTTGCGATATAAAGCTCCGAGTGGCACTGCAACTATTATGGATATAGGCATGTCGCTTACTTGTTCGTCCCGTCACTGGTATTATAAAAAAAAACCGACTAAATCCGACCGACTAATATACTTCCAGTCTTGATAAATCTCTGTTATTCTATGAATGACTTCAAGTGCTTCTTGTACAAAAATGCTACTACAACCAGAACGCATTTTTTACGATGACAATAATTAAAATAAATAAATACAATAATAATAATAAGCTGTAATTTTAAATACATGCCGCATCGTCAGAAAGTTCATGCAGATGGAAGAGGACGAAGTAGGATCTTATTGCACACCCACCACGTACTCGTAGATACACGCCATACTGCATTTACTTGACTTCGGCCCGTAAATGCGTTTCAAGCCAGCTAACAAGCTGAGAAGAATAAAGCAAAAAATAATAATAATAATTTATTTAAGATCTTCGATTCACTTTGTTAGTAAGAGTTGAAAACTTAGGACTATATTTTAGTAAATTACACTTAAAAAGATAGAAAATAATTAAAAATAATAATAATAGAGATTAACAATTGGTAAGAGCAATTAGAATTCATGTCACCAGCTCTTCTTGGTGACCAGTTAGCATGTATAATATTTTTAAAGATTGTTTGATTGTAAATCTTGATTTTGCATAAATAAATAAAATTGCACAAAAGAGGGGTCTTTACTGTGCCCCTAAAGCAGGTTAGGTATAATAAGAATTCATAAACTTTACATGGTGCAATAAATTGAATTGAATTGTAATAAAATTTCATAAAGCACATAACACAATGTTTGTTATTAGGAAATGTGTCATTCTGGCATCTTCATTGCGATTGTTGCCTTTGCGCATGTCGGTGCTCGATTACTGGCATTAAGTAATGCTGCCGGAAAAGATTGCCCATTCAGAAGTATATTGTTCCAAGATTTAGAGATGTACTTAAATATCCGAAGACTTTGAGTCTGTAAAGTGTAAGAAAAAATAAGGTATAAAACGGATGGATTGTGAACAAAAATTAAGACAAAACGAAGAAAAAACTAAAAAACATATAAGCCAAGCCAAGTAATAGAATAAGGGTATAGAAACAGTCCGAGGTCGTCTCAAATTATCATTAACGATTTTATATTCAAACGGGAAAAGGGTTAACGTATTCAATATTTTGTCTCGACATTTGTCTTATTTGAAATTATACATATGAATTACCAACATTTAGCCACAACATCCTACATAAAATTTTCGGATCCAACAATATCTCTACTCTTTCCCAACTCTATTCACTACAAGAATTGCATCGTTGATAATTTATATGGTTTTTTTCACATTCTTTCTTAGGAACGCAGTTATTTTATTCTGGCAGGTATGTTGCGTAAAGATGAATAATTCAAATTAAACTAACTGTTTTTAATCGCCATTTTGTTAATTTTAATTCTGTTAATAGATCGTTTGATGAAAACGTGGTATATAATTAATTACTGGGATTTTTTTATATTAATTTAAAGATTAATGTTGCAGTCAGTCGATTAAGACAAGTGTTCTACGAGTAGGATAACTGGCAGATTTAAATATTCATTTTACAGTGAAGAAACGATCGTTGGAAAACCAGTCAGAAATATACGTATGTTCGAAAAGTTTGTCGAAGATTCTAGCCTAAACAAAACACTGTAGCCGAAACAACACTCTCTTTGTGAATTTTACAGTAAAGTCAAGAAGTTGATAAGGTTAATGCGATGTAAAGGAAGATTGGTTCTTTATTTCAGCTGCTGTAGTTAGTTCACTTTTACTTTTTTACGCCCGTTTAATCCAGCGGTGGACCGCAACATTAATATAATGACGTTAAATATCAGATATCAACTTGAGCATTTCACTTTCGGTCGCCCGCTTGTTTTTATCCGATAATTTTATATTTAGCAATTATTATGTATACAAGCATTATATTTACATAATTTTAGTACAAGAGAATATACCTTTTAGTGTAAGGTTATTATTTGTTTCCTCATTTGAATCGTTCAATGTACTTTATTAAGTTGCGAGGCTTACTCGAGGTCTAATTAATTTTCCATCTCCCATACTTTTCAATGTTTAACAACAGCCTTATGAGAAACAGAATTAGTTTGCCATTATAAAACAAAAAGTTGACATTTTTCCCGAAATACAATCTAAAGTGAAATACAATCGGTTAAGAAAGTATTCCTGTTCGTTCAAACACAATTAATAAAATATGCAATAGTCACATTTCGTTAGTAACTTCACGGCTTGATTACTTGGTAAGTACCTTCGACTTTAACTTCGATCCAAGACGCTACGTTCACACGATCTCAGGTTGTCCACAAAGATTTCCGTCTACTCAGCTATTGTACTTCCTGACCTTCTCTATTCTTCCGAACCATGAGTCCTATACAGCCGTCAAATAGGCACGTTAGGTAGATTTCACATAAAGTGCCTACAAGGCATTGTTAACATCATTTGGTCGGATCGGGTAAGAAACACCGATACGCTGCGGCGGGCTAATGTCTTCGGCATTGAAGGATATCTAATGCGGCGTCAGCTTTGCTGGTGTGGACACATCTCGCGCATATCTGAATCGAGCTGCCGGGATGCAGTCGAGTCGTTCTGGGTAGAGACACTTTGTCATAACTCCGGTGACAAAATTTGAGGAGCAGGGACTGTCAGATCTGGACGCGAAACGTGATGCTCTCAAGACATACAGCCATCTGGTCCTACTTTGTCGACGTTGTTCCTACGTGTCGTCACTATTTGCGAATCAATAAGATTGGCTACTGTAGCCATCCAAATCACATGAAAGAGCAAACAACCGTAGCTCTAATTCTAAACAATAGCAGTTAACTGTCTCCGTGACCAAACGATTACCACGCTGAACTGCCACGCAGAGGTCCCGGGTTCGATTCCCGGGCTAGAGAGAAATATTTGTATGGCCTAAATTTACTTCTCTCCTGAGTTTGGGTGTAATTTGTGGTTGTCTATTAGTGTGTCCATGGCACCCGAGACATAAGGTTTCCCTAGTGCAGAGCTATGAGTGTGAGTCTTATGAGTGTGTGCGTATGCAGCAGCCGACCAACCGACTAGGTTATACAAATGTACTCGGTAAGTAAACGCTGCGACGTTTTCATCATAGCTTTCAGACAAAAAGAGTCTTTGAGGACATCTCTATCCCTACGTGATGAAATTACAGGCGCATGGCTGTGCCCCTGAGATCTGGTATTTTAAAGCTTTGAGTGGCACTGCAACTGTTACGGACAGGCGTGTCGCTTACCATCACTTGTTACTTGGTATAATAACAAAAGCCAGTAACTCGTAATTCAACGAGATGTATCACGTATTTTTGGTGGCTAAGCAGTCGGGTTACATGCCTTGAAGTGATTTTGATTGTTAAGAAAAATACTAAATTTAGCATGAGAAAATGTACGTTTATGTGATATGTAACTGTATAATTTAAATGTGCGAAATTGAGATGCGTGAATCACATTGTAGCGACGGCCTGAATATGAGAACGAGGCCTAGGTTCAGTTCCTAGTAGGAAGCCTCCATCACTTAATCTTTTTGAATGATCTATAATTCAAGTTATCAAATGTCACATCTTTAACGGTGAAGGCAAAGAAGGCAAATAAACATAAATAAATAAATAACGCACTCATTCAACATAGCCGCACTAGGGAAACCGTGTCGCGGGTGCCATGGACACACACATAGACAACCACAAATTACACCCGAACTCACGAGAGAAGTAACTGTAGGCAATACAAATATTTCTCCCGGCCCGGGAATCGAACCTGGGACCTCTACGTGGCATTTAAGCATGGCAACCGTTCGGCCACGGAGACAGTCAAACATCGTGATTGAATAATTTATACGAGTACAAATCCATATTATTAAAAATGGAAGTAAGTTACCTAAAAGGTAGCCAATAAGGTTGATTAGTGCAAAACAACTGCGGTTGCATGCAATTAATTTCCCCACCCGATTTTCAGATGGAAATAATAAAACAAATCACACGCTACTACACCCACAACCATCGTCACCATAAACGGCGTCCAGCCGAAGAGGCAAGATTGTCTGATGACTTCCATTCTAATTAATATTGGTAGAAACTTTTTTCAATTTAAGACAGGCCATGTCTGCTACGGGATATATGTTTTAAATAACTTAAAAAACCTCAACGAAACAGTTTTCGTTCGGAAAATAAGAAACAGCAAAGAGTTCACCCCTATACTGACGTGGAGGGAAAACGCATATGTGAACTTTTTCCTTTTTTATGATATCAAGTGAGAGACGAACAAGTCGTAGGCCTGGTGGTAAGCGACACGCCTGTCCATAGCAGTTGCAGTGCAACTCAAAGCTTTAAAACGCAAAGATCTTGCCCTTCCAAACTGGCACGCAATAATGCTTTCATTGCTGCTTGGCGGCAGAAATAAGTAAGGTGTCATGGGTCACATGGAGCTCTACTGGTACTTAACGTCACGTCTGGATCTAATTACATCGTATTAGAGAGGGTGTATATTCTATAATCATTAACTCACTTTACATCCAACTGCTGGGCACGAACATCCTCTAAGAATTTAATAATAATCCAACTAAGCCTGTTATGCCTCAGTTTCATACAAGAATGAAGCTGCCATAATAAAGCTTTGTCCGAAAATTGCGGACCCCGGAAGCGCGGGAACTTATTTTGAATCCAATATAAGTGGTTGTTTATAATTTTAAGGCATGCAAATACAGAAATAGTTATAATTACATTAGTTTGCGATTAAGTAATTTTTACCAACAATTAGGGGTATATTATTATTTGTCATATTATAACTTAATGGATATTAATCTCGATCAATCGAGATTAATTTTATCGGCAACCGGCAGATTAAACCAATAAATTAAAACTCCAACTTACCATCTCAAAAACCAAAACAAAATCCAAAATTTCAATGTCTCAAACAGCATAACCAAAAACAATAAGTCACAACACAAAAATTTGACTTCAGATTTCCTTTGAAAGAAACCGTCAATTTTGTAAACACTCCGGAAAAATGGTTTTAAGAGCAACAGCGACGCGTACGCTCTGCTTGAAGACCAGGGCTCTACTGAGAATGTGAGATGTCTCTCGGGCATAAGGAGCTGCGCGTGCGACCTTACCGATTCACCTGTAGAACTTTCTATTGATTGATGTAAATGTTTGTTTTGGTAACTATTTTGGGGAACAGGTCCCATTATGCAATTTTTTTCTTAATTAATACGTACCGACTCTACTGGATTTTGAAGTGACGTTACAAATTTTTAAAAGATATCCAAATTAAATTTTGATACCTGATAGCAACAATATAATTGGTTTCATTAAGATTACAAAAAGCATGTAACATTAATTATATATAACTTGTACATTTTAAGAATAGAGTGAGTCGTTGCTATATAAATACCTCATTTTTCATTTTATTTTCAATTTATACGAAAAATATACCAATGGCATACGTACATACATAGGTACACTTCACGCTATTTTCCCATCGTAGTAGGCAGAAACCACAGTTGCAGTACTACTCTGTGCTTCACAAATTACAAAGACCTGACGGGCATTGCCACTGCGTCCGTCACCCGGAGTCACTGAATAGATATAAAAAAATGATCATAAATTTACATCATAAAGATCAGCACTAGGTTTCGCCAATATGTACTAAATAAAAAAGGGATTTCCAATACATTTCATCATAAATTTGTTACTTAAAAAAATCCCGCTCTATGTGAAGCATTACTTAAAACGTTCGAACCAGAATTAATTTAGAAAAGGTTATTCAAGCATTGGTCCTACTGGGAATCGAACACGGAACATAAATTGTCGTCAATTGCGAAGCAACCGTTCTCCTACTGAGTTGTGGTAACTCAACTCTCGTTTCCCACTTTGTATATTCCAGAAGTGAATATGTAAGTACTTAAATATGTTTAAGTCCCTTTGAAGTATAATTTAAAACTGATCAGTTAAACATTCCACATTAATCATGTTAATTTAATTTTCATGAAAATGTCGGTGCCTAACCCACAACACGGCGTTCACGACGTCTCGTAACCCAGTCAGGGGTAGCTATTCACAAATCATCACTTAGTCTAGATGAAGTCGAACATTTTTTAATTGTCCGGTTTCCCTTATACCGTTTACGCCTTTGTTTGTGTGAAAGCATCGATCATTATCGGTACGCTCTGGTTGCTTCACCTGAAAATCACATGTTACTTCTATCTCGTTTTTTAACAATTGTGTGCTTTATTGCAAACTAGTTTTGTTCAAAGGTGCGGTTAAAGGCGGAATCGTGCTTCTGGACTTGATTTACAGGAATAATTCGTGTCTTTATTTCACACAGAACGTTTAGACATAATTGACTCCTATAATAATCGCGTTTGTTAATTGCTGTTGGTATTATAATACTAACACTTTTACTTGTACACTGTTGAACACAGATGTTTGCTAAAATCATAAGTTGTCTGTTAAAGGTTTTCATTATGACAAATCCTTCTTTTTTGAAGAAATTGTAAACTTCCGTCTACCAGTGGATTTAATTACGCAGATACGGTTTAGAGACGGACAAAGACGGGTTACGCAATTCATAGTGAAAAGAAAATATCATTTAAAAAAATCAAGTTACCAATCCTAAGTTTTCATATTTCTCCTCTCATGTCGTAACTAATATTTTAACAATTTGAATAAAAATACGATTAATTAAAGTTTTCAATAGACTTCATTATATAAGCGAAAAGTTGTACGAAGCCGATTCGTATTAGCATCGAAAATCACTTTCGGTCTCGACGATTGCAGCTGGGCGCAGGCCCGAATAGTCATAATTAAGTATTTTTTAATGCGCGCTTTTGAGAAAGGCGGAAGACTTGCCTAATTTTAAATCTTTATCGAAAATATTTCAACTCTAAAGGGATTATGATTAATGGAATTTACAAATTATTGACATTTTTTTATCTCTTTGTCAAAGGTTTTTGTTATAACTCATCGTCACAGTCAAGTTTACTGTCTTCGTTACCAAAGAACTTACGTTAGTTTCATCCCACTGTGGTCAGCAATTTTAAAGATATTATCCACCATGTTCAATGCCGGATGTCCAAGGTTCCTGTAATCACTTCTTGATTAATTTTCGGTCGCTTTACTCCATCTGCCGTAATTTTTATTAGTAATTGTCGTTACATTTTAATTACACCTATCTGATTAAACTGAACAAACAAAGTTTCAAGGTGTGAACTCATGTTCAAATTTCCAGTTCTAACTTTAGTCAAATAATTTTACCTTAGTATTTTGCATAATATTCCCGTAATTCATTTCTATGATATTCTTTACAGTATCAGTGAAACAGAAATTGTCATTATCGATTAATTCAGAACTTGATCCATTACCAGATCGAATGAGCATTTCACAGTTTCGATGTTTATTTTAGTTTTCGCAACACGCAATGGTTGCTCCACACTTTCGTTATTAACAAATACTGATTGATCAGTGTACTTGCAATTATCGAAAAAGACTGCTGCTGACATCATTAACCTGTTCGGTATAAATGGCCTCTGAACAAGTTTTGAGCCATTGTCCACTACTCTGGTGATCTTAAACGACAAATGTGTCTCTTAGTAGAGTCAGATGTGTATCACGGTGTGTCCAATTAACTCAAAATCAAGGGCTACACAGAAATTAAACTATACATGATTGGAAATTCAATGGCATAGGCGGTGGGCATTCCTACAACTAAGCTATCAGTGCTTTTTCTAATAAAGATCTTTCTGAACAGAGTATAAGTACTTTCAAGTAAATGCAAAAGGTAATGTTACTATAATTCAATAATAATATTAAAACTATTGAATAGGATGATAACGACAGTAAGATAAAGTTTAAAAGACTTAATTGACCCTCGCCATGTTGAAATATTGTTCTGAATTTTGCTGTCTTATGTTGATGTCGAAATCAAAAGTATATCCATCATTTTTGTATCCAAAAGCAACTTGTGAAGTACCTATTTTTGCTATTTGTAGAACAGGTTTAACTTATGGGACATTTTTAAATCCGAAAAAATAGTTTCATTTCCAATGTGTAACAGTTATGAAAACCTAGATATGTATATTCTAGTTATTAATTGAAAGTTTCATCAAAATACATTCAGTTGTTTTGAACTCTACTTTGGACATAACATGAAAACAGGAAGATAACAATTATAAAACCCTTTTTATAAACCGTATTAATGTCATGTCCTATGTTAATTACCAACTAATTAAATTTTACTTGTGTAGATTTCGTGTTTGAAAAGTACTTCTCAAGAACAAATAAATTCTTAAGATTCCCACGCGTTTTGGTGCTAATTTTCTAGTTGTGACATTCCGCGATGTTACCGGAGAAAACGGGCCGCGGTTATTTCGCTGTATTGAAATGGACACGTTGTGAAACAAGATGTGATGTTAGTGTTCTACAATCACTAGAAAATATATATCTTACTACTCTAGCAGGTATTTAAAAATAGTAGAGTAGGATGTAGCGATTACTGCCGAATAACGGATAAATGCCTGCGTAAATAAATTATATGTGTTATTTAATGGGTTACAGCAACACGGGACTTTATCTCATATTAATTTAAGGATATTAAATTGTATAATATGAATAAATAAACAGAAATATCCTTGTCCTTCATAATAAATAGGTCTTGTTTAATCATTTATATCGATTTCTTTGTTTTCCACGCCAAGAGTGTTTTTAATATTAGACACTTTTCTGTAAGGCTCCTTCTCACGTACGACAACACCAAATCTGCTAAACTACTTCCAATGTCAATTATTTATCACCAGTGTTAAAATTACAAGAAACGCGGTCGATGGCAAAATTTTTTAAGTAGAACATTCGTTGACATCAGGTAAAAGTAACTAGGTCAAAAGCCTTGGCAAAATCAACTGAACGTTGACATTACAATTATTATTACAAAGATCAAACACGAAGAAAAAATAAATTCTGATAGATTGTTTTCATATATTGGCATAGGGACGCAGGTTCGTGTCCTGTGTAGGCACGTGGGACTTGTCAACTTAAATCTCAGGATGACTAGCGCAGTGGCAGTGCCGCTAAGATCTTTGCGATTTAAAGCTCTGAGTGGCACTGCAACTGTTATGGATAGGCGTGTCGCTTATCATCAGGCGCACGACTTGATCGTCCTGTCACTTGCTTTTATATAAAAAGGATGTCAAGCATTGATTCGTCTGATGGCTTAAGAACCTCGCAGAACACCTGTGCCTACTTAATGTGTCCCTGCTTAGGGGCGCGACTATGATCACATTTCACGCAACGCTTGCATCATCGATCGCACTACGAAATGCACGTGTGCAGTTCGCGAGGCATTCGCAGCGCATTTACCACATTTGTATGCATCCTTACCCGCAACACATGAATTGTAAGTTGGAGCATCTAAGATATTTATAATTTACGAAAATCATCGAGTACATAATGTACTCGTTATGATGTGGTGGTTAAGTTTTTGATAAATATAGTAAATAATACTTTAACTTATGCGTTTTATGTGGTTTTTAGAGTAATAAATTTGCCATAACTACTGCTACGTGCCTTATTTGTGCTAAAGTAGGTTGTTACACCGATCCCAAAGGCAATTACTGAGCACCGAGCGTTAGATCAGCCTTAATTGTTTTAGAACCAACTCTAAAAACAGTGAAATTAATAATAAATCATTTAGTATAGGGTCATAGTCGATGTGAAGAATCTCATGATAAGAAACTTATACAAGAGCTAGTCATTTAGTTTTCGTCGAAAGCTTGAAAGTCTATTTTACTTACTTAACAAATATATTTTGATAACAGGTAGTCTTCTTGAGTAACATATATATTGATGTGATAATTATGCGCGGCTAGACTATCGTTGCTGTAATTTTGTTATTTAATTGATACTTAATTAATTAACTGTATGTTATAAACATATGTAGTGAATGTACTGGTGGAGCTGCGTCATTGCGAAACGCAGCAAAAATAATTTGATGGCCAGCGCCCGGAGCTCAAAACGACACCCAAGAGTAATTGGTTTCCTGTACTAGGAACACCTTTCCA